GCAAAATGTTCACAATCCMCTCAGCTCTACTGCTCATCCCAYAAATGCATGTTCCTTGCAAATGTGGCACCRTTTRAAAGGAAAGTTAACAGGCTTTCCAACAGGATAAGATTAATTGACAAGAACTAGTGTTRCAACAAAGAAAWAACCCATCAAATACAAATKTCCTTACTTTTTRTATTTAAGTTTATTTGTAAACGCAACTATGTCTGACTCATGAACAAAAGAAAGCAGGAAATCAAACTTTCATGACATGCCTGCCCTCTTTTTGCAAAGGCAAATGTATAACAGATTGCTTGTTAAGACAAAAAAAACTAGATTTGTTCCACTGCATTCATAAACAAATTCAACATTTTACGATGGATTCCAGTTTTTTTTCCCAAAACACTCTATAAACAAGCACTTAGCCCCTGTAATATGGCTGCAGTAAAGTAAGACAAGAAGCAGGGCACCCCACACACACACCCACACACACCCCCGTGACTTTACTATCTCTTTATCCTCTTGTCATTTACTCCTGATCCCMGATTTCTTTTGTAAGCTGACTTCAGCTGGATAACCTTGTAAATGCTTTAAGATCCAATGAGGTTATCGGCCCAGAATACGCTTAATTACAGACATGGCTGTGCACAAGTGTTTACTATAAAGAAACAGGCAAAAGGAGATAAGGATAGATAAACAGTAAAGAGATAGGGGCAGATGACAGATACGTTCAGTGTGTCGTTATCAGTCCACAAGTCTGACGATACAGGACAGATGGGCCTGATCTCCTCAAAACAAATAACTACTCACAAGCCTCATTTCTACAAGTAAAGAATGTTTTTCAAGCCAATAATGAAGTAATAAACTGCATGTAGTGATTTTTTTTTCCTTGTTTTTTTGTGCTGAGCACAGTTTGAACTTGATAGTTATTGTGATTGGAAACCAGAGCGAGCTGCTGATTCCTGAAAGACTTTCAGCTGGAAATTCAGTTTTAATAAAGCAACGGAACCCATTTCCTTCTGCTTCTGCTCACTTCTAAATTAAGCTGCAAACACGAGCTCTTAAGGCTGAGTGATGCCTCTGCATCGAGGTGTTCGGGTACCTACTTCCTGTGGTGTGCACCTCCACAGAAATGTAATTACAGTACACGTCAGGCCCGCAGGAGTGTGTGTGTGTGTGTGTGTGTGTGTGTGTGTGTGTGTGTGTGTGTGTGTGTGTGTGTG